ACAGATGAGCTGCTGAAGTTGCAGTCCTTCAGCATCCCAGGATGCAGTGTTCCCTTCCCCACCCTCCTGTTCTGTATGGATAAACTTTCTACTCACTGAAGTCTATTGGCCAGGGAGTGGTTCCGGCACCAAGCCAGCTCCCCCTCCCATCCATAGGGGTGCGAACTTCCCATCCCAGGGGTGCAACCCCATGCAAACAGCCTGCAGAGCACAAGCTATTTAGCCAGGTGGCAGGGTACATATGGATCTGGGAGTGGATCTAGGGTGGCTTGGGAGGTGGGGAGCAGGTCCCCAAAGAGCTGGGGCTTCCTTCCTAGGGAAGGGGCAATAGCTCCCCCAAAACCACCTTTCCTCACCGCTTCCAGCTCCCAGCCACCCAGGGAAACATGATCACTACCCCCCACACCCTAATCCCAATTTAGTAAAACATAAGACCTTCTTTAATTTACTTCCTCTTTATTTTTAAATTAATTTTTAAACTTCTTTTTATTTTATTCTTCAGTGGCTGATTTTATTTCACCAGTAATCCCCATTTCCCTTTCACCTTCCATGTCATTACCCACATCCATCCCACTGAATTTCTACCTCCCTGCTTCATATTCCTGCCCTTCAACCCAGGTTGCACCCACCCTCACCTAGAGCAGAGAGAGAAGGCTGTCCTGGCTCACCAGTCCTCTAGTGGCAAGTCACAGCTGTGCAGGGTGGCGACAGTTAGAGAAGGTTTTTAACCTTAAGGGGCACGTCCACATGTGTGTGGATGTTTGGTTCCCTGGGGAAAAGTAGCAGTGGCACACCTTGCGCTGTGGCTACTTGTCCCCAGGGAACAACCATGCCACTTGCACTTTGGTGCGTGGCAAGTTGGTGGTGGAGTGGGGAGGCTTATCTGGGGTCTGGGGGCCTCCTCGAGCTGCAGCCACAGTGATCCTGTGAGGCAGAGTCTGGCCAGCAGCAACAGTGTGGCTCTGGATGGCCCGGCTCTGCTATTCAGCAGTGCATGCTGCCTGAGCATGCGCTGCTCTGTTTTTTCCTGCCGCAGCTTTTTTTGACCCCTGGATATCCAAGGGTCAAAAAACCTGCAGGAAAAAAGGAGCAGTGCATGCTTGGGCAGCGTGCCCTTGCAGCTCAGAGAACACTGGACTGGGCAGGCAGCACACCCTTGCAGCGCCACATACTACACAACCACGCTCGTATGGACGTGCCCAAGGTATGTGACTGCTTAAAGCTAGTACTAACACTGATCAACATTTGAGCAGCTCAAAATGCAATGTGTAGCAAGGCCCTCTAACTCCATTACATTTGATTACAGTGTTTTTCTCTTAGGAAGTATTTTAAAATTTCACCCAGTGATATCAACACAGCATGCTTTGTGTATATTCAAAATGCTGTAAGGAATACATTGTGAAAAGTTAATTGAATAAAAGCAATGAGTTTCAGTTGCTATGATTTCTAGCATCACCAATAATTTGCTTTTAATGTGTTTGGAGGGCCCTAGGATAATCATGAAAATGATTGTGAATCCTCAACATCTTAATGCCATTTGTTCTTCCAATAAAAATGGATATTGGAAACATATTATTTGCTATTTGACATTCTGTAGTCTTCTATTTACATTTTTTTCAGTTATCCAGTCATGAAGGAGGAAAAATACCCAGTAACTAATCCCACAGAATAATTAATTTTAAAAAATGTTATATAAAAATGTATCCATAGGTTGAATCTATTGATATATACTGAGAAAGCTCTTATGAATAAATTTGTATAGATTGTTCCCAAACAATATATGAACAAAAAAGGGAACTTTATAACAAGTAATGGTATCTATATCTATCTATGGATAATATATAATTTAATATGTAATACCAATATATATAAAGGATAATATATCATATAAAGGTTTTGCAATTTTTGTTTATTCATGTTCTTTCTTCGTATTATATTAGATGAAGATGTAATCTGTCTCCACTCCAGTGCTCAAGAGTGAGCTCTGGGAAGAATGTATTATTATTAAATTTATTTCCACGTGTGCCAATCACTTCAGCCATTCTTTACTAAGAGGCATTCTATTAATTATATGGGGAGTGTTTTCTAATGACAAGAAGCAAATGTTGACTTAAAAAAGATCAAGGTACGACTTAAAAAAAAAAAAAAAAAAATCAAGGTAGGATAACAAACAGGTTTGGTTACTGCATAAAAGAGAATGCGCTCCGGAATTTATTGAACTATTTTAGCTCTTAGTTCAACTGCAGAACAGATTTGCAGATGGCAGAATTATTGTCTAGTCCAATTAAAAATCCATTTTTTCCCCATTTTCCCCTCTTACCTACATTCTGATATAAATTATGGCACAGGAAGCCTGCACATAAAAGCTATGGACCAGGATGTGATATGATCATATACCAGCAAATCAGCTGTGGAAATTAAATTAACATTTCTTTTGCTCTTGCACACAAAAGATGATGGAGCGTCTAGAGCAAGAAGTCACGAGAAATATGCAGATCTGCTTTGTGCTCATGTATTATAGCTGATCAGTGAGGCTTACTGGCTGACTCTGCTTTATTTATTGTCACAATAGCCACAGATTTGAAAAACTTCCAGGGCATAAGCAGTGCAGTAGATATTATGTTCATGCACACACACAGACACATGCTGTTGTATCCACAGAGCAGATTTCATTTACTCTTCTACTCCCAGACTGCACATAGCATACTGCATTATATTCAGGGCCTCTCTCTATCTGGAAGGAATTCAGAGCAAAATATTTAAGTGGCTTGTTGTATGGATCTATGCAGAAATGCTATAAGAAATGGAATGTCAATCATTAAAGTGTTGCTAACTATTTGTTTGGAATTCAATTAACTAACACAGCTGTAATATTACAGGTATTTCCTGCAATATCATGGTCATATTGAATATTTGTACATGCTAAATATCAATTATAGGTCAGCTAAAAGATGACTAAGGGAATTTGTGATATTCAGCTAAGGGCATAAAAACAATATGAAAAGAATTCTTTAGGGTGGTTCTTGAGGTGAGGTATAATTAGGAATTAATGAGATGGAACTGTGCAAAGGAATATTTAAGAAAAGGATCGTGCATCATTTTCATAATAGCAAGTTTTCTCAGAATGCTGAATAGCCATCCAAGGGAAGCAAGGGAAGAATCATTTGACTTATTTACAATGGCCAGTAAACTGGGCAGAGCATTGGAAAACATGATCTAGAAAACAGATCTTCTGAGAGGTTTTTTGCTTGGATGACCTAGTAACCGAAACCTATAATAGTGTCACTGCTGCTATATACACAACATAATGATTTACAACAGGGGTTGGCAACCCTTGGCACATGGGCTGAGCGTGGCATGTGAAGCCATTTTGCTCAGCATGCCATGGCCAGCCCCGGCTCTGGGTAGCTGTTGCCAGCAACAGAGCCCAGGCTGCTCCCGGCAGGGCTTTCAGTGCCCTACCTGCCTGCTGGGAGCAGCCCAGTCTCCCGGCTGGCAGCAGCTACCCAGAGCCAGGGCTGGCTGCAGCTGGGAGGCTCCAAACAGCTGTGCCAGGCTCCGGCATCAGCTCCCTACCAGTGCATGCACCCATGCCTTGGACCAGGTGGTGGGGGAGGGACCTGAGGCAGCACAGCCCTGGTCTCTCCCCTGCTCCTGGCATGGAGGTGATGGCAGGGTTCTGGAGTCTGGCGCAGCTGTTTGCAGCCAGCCTGGGCTCTGGGCAGCTGCAACAAGCAGCGGGCAGGCTGCAAACAGCTGCGCCAGGCTCCATAGCTCCAGCATCAGTTCCATGCTAGCAGTGACTGCTTGGGCACCTCGGGGTGGGCTGCACTGCCCCACTGTCCGCCCCAAGGTGCGCACGCAGTCACCACCAGCATGGAGCTGATGCCAGAGCTGATGCCATAGCTGTTTGCATCCTGCCCGTTGCTTGCTGCAGCTGCCCAGAGTCCAGGCTGGCTACAAACAGCTGCGCCGGGCTCGGGAGCCCTGCCATCACCTCTGTGCCGGAAGTGGGGGAGAGACTGGGGCTGTGCTGCCTCAGGCCCCTCCCCCACCGCCTGCTCCGATGGGCGGGTGTACTCGCTGGTAGGGAGCTGATGCCAGAGCCCGGAGCTCAGCACAGCTGCCTCCCAGTTGCAGTCGGCCCTGGCTCTAGGTAGCTGCTGCCAGCTGGGAGCCCAGGCTGCTCCCAGCAGGCAGCTGGGATGCTGCAAGCCCTGCTGGGAGCAGCCCAAGCTCCAGCACCTACCCAGAGCCATGGTAGCTGCTGGCAGCCACAGAGCCTGGACTGTGGGGCAGGGACTTTGGGTGGTGGGCAAGGGGCACAAGCAGGGCATCCTGCCATGTACCCCTTGCCCTCATTTTGTTTTTCTGCCATGCCAGTACTCTGGCACCTTCCAAGGTAGGCATTGTGGCATTTTTCAGCACTCCGGCCAAAAAACGTTGCCTATCTCGATTTACAAAATGAACTATTCCCAACATCTCAGTGAAGTACATGTAGGCATTATTCCTCCTTTTCAGGTGGAAAGTTCATGTAGGGAGGTCCAATAACTTGCTCATGAAACCAGAGCGAATCTGCATCAGAGATGCTATTAGAATTTAGGAGTTCTTGAGCCACACACCCAGTGCATACTTCTCTCTTTCTCATCTTCTCTGCCATCTGACACCACCTTTTCTAGTACATGTGTGCACTCTTTTGGTTGCCCAACAGAGAGCAATTTGCTAAAACGGGTGGAGAGAGAGACTCAGCTTCACACAGAAATAATACATTAGCAAGACTTATGGGTTAGTCATTCGAAAGAAGAGCAAACAGAGTAGAGATCCCATGAGAAAACCTGCTCTTTTGAGAGACTTGCATGTTTAGATCTTTAAGGATGGTCTGGATAAACATGTCTCCAAGGCCACCGGGTTTTTGTGGCTTGACTCCCACGCAGTGTTAAGAAAAATGGGGGGAAAGTGAAAAGGTTTTTAGTAAAAAGGATTTTTTTTTAACTGGGTACCTTTCAGATGTAACTCTGATACGTTCATCATTTGATGATTGTTGTTCATCCTCCTTTTCCTGAAAGTATTCCTCGACACACTGCTCTTCAAATTCATACAGCTTCTTCAGCTCTTCATCATTCAGAAACAATTCTGCATAAAAATTGTACAAAAATGCCCATTAATTTCCCCCAAGATTCCTGAGAGTCTGAAGAAATTTCTAGCATTTTTAAAACCAATTTAGAGGAGGGTTTGTTTGGGGTTTCTTTTGGCATGGAGGGGGGAGTTGGAGTGTGTGCGCATGTGTGGGGGGAGAGGATTAGGGGTCACTGAAGATTTTGTCTCTGTGCCTAACAGCTACTTTGTGAAATGGTGATCAACACTTAGCTAAAATGACAATGGTTTTATGGGCAATGTTATCTTATACAATGAATGATTATCTGATTTTTATGATGATCCAGTAGAGCACTATATTTTCCCATTGGTCTCTGCACAGATTGATTAAAATTAGTGGAACATCTGCACACAGAACAAGGGTGGAATATAGTTTATAGTTTCTGTTGAATAAAATACCCAGGAAGCCTCGGCAAAAATGATTTTTCCTTAAGATGAATTTTCTTTTTACTTCTCCATCAAAATGGAATTCGCCTCAGTGTTTACATGCAACGGATAATCTGCTGTATCAGTTTGTTCCAATGATATTCTTTGAATAAGGATTTCAAAATGGCATTTATGTAAAAAAATAAATCTGATAGAGAAATTAAAGCCCTTGAGAAAGCTTAATCTTTTATAGCACTTGACTCTCTGTATTTTCAGGTGTCACATCTACCATTCTTTTTCATCGAAGCATATCAGGCAGAAATATAATTACCTACAAAATGTGTTTCCCCATGAAGTGCAAAAATCAAGAAATAAAAATACTACACAATTAATGCAAACATTTGTTTGTTTTAATGAAGCTGAATTTTTCTTTTTACTCTTAATATGATGGTTATAATGCTCTATAATTCACAATTATTATCACTTTAATCTTCAAGGCACTTCAGAGATATTAATTAATCCTCAGAGCACTCCTGTGAGGGGAGGTTTGATTAAACTTGGAGAAACTGAGGCAAGGATGTTGTACATGACAGTCACAGATGAAATTAGAAACCATAATCACTGTCTGTCTTTAATTTTTTTACTCCTTTCTTCCCATTGGGTAGCATCCATTAGAATTTCATTACCTGAATTAAAAGGATAACAACACAATAGAGGTTACCATTTAAAAAAAAAAAAAGCTAAAGATTTGGAGACTTCTATGAATAAATTATTTTGCATGTATTGTCCCATACTGCCATCTTCTAATATACTTGATTGCCAAAGTGAATAAAATGAATGGTTATTAGCACTGGAAAAGTGTCTGCCTGGTGTTGAAATGAAAACAAGAATGTTATGTAGAATAGACAGTTTTTTGCATACTCAATCCCCGGTCGCGCTCATCCTGATCCCCTTCCCTTTTCTTCTTACAGCGACAGCAGATGCGCTTGAGGATTATGTAGAGATGGCTGAAGATGATCATTGGTGGAGGGAGGACAGGCCTGTCATGGAATGTCATGATCAGCTGATATCGCTGGAACTTCCAAACTTGGTTGGATATGGATTTCACTTCAAAGAAGGTATTGCTGAAAAAAGGGTTATTGTTAGCTGTCTTTATTTCCACTAGGTCCTTCAGATCTTTTGCCATAACTCAGAATATTTTTAAAGATACAAAAAGAAAAAAAATATTAATTTAGAATAGTTTTCCTAGTGTATTAAAGCTACTTAGCAATCACTGAAAAGAAATGAACTCTGCAAACCATATGCACTACATACCTGCTATTCTGAAGCATGCTTATAAATAAAGTATCTCTAATAACGTGCCTCAGTGTTTGAAAATATGAAACCCATGAAAGGTATTCTGTATAAAACCCAGAAGCTACACACAGGGGTTTTTTTTTAATATGCTGATCAGCTTGACCTAAATAGAAGACGTTTCAAAGCTCTCACAAGATGCCCTAAATTCAAACTTCATTCATACAAACTTCTGGCTTCAGAACTCAGTGCATCGCCTTTTAAAGAAAGCTGCTCTTAAAAATGAAGGTTTTTCATTTTCATCACCAAAGCAAGGCATGTATTATAAGAATTGAACTTGGAGGTCAGTGGATTTAGAGGTGTAGAATGGGGACTGCATTCGATACAGAGACTAATAATAGCCTCCCCTATATTATACCAATTAAATGAGAGCAATCATGCTTCTTATAGTGTTGGATTAACTTTTCAAGCTATTTGGAGTGTCCTCAAATTGCACCACTTCTCGTTATATAAACCCTTCTTTTTCCACATTCTACCCACTTTACTTTTCTCGTTTTCTGTGCTTTAAAATATTTACACGCGCTTTCATGAAATCACTTAAAACATGACTGCAAAAAAAACCAGAATGTGGAGTCCATGAAGTTTTAGATTTGTCTGGCAGGGAAGAAGGGTGGTTATATTATCACTGAGACGGGTTTGACTTTATTCTGTTGTCTCAATAGCAAGAGTTTTCCAATTGCATACCCTGCTATCTACCATGCTGGGAGGATAGGAGTTAACAAAATGACCTACTTCCTAACTGCTGATTGTTTGGTCTCTTCCACCAATAATAGCTAACATTGTGTGTAATGTTCCCGCCACCACCCCAGCTATGTGATTGGCATTTGAGTACTTTAAAATTCATGACCTTTTAAGCCACTAAGCAGTCTAACTACATATAGCAAATAAAAGACGGGGTTTGTAAGAAGCACAATTCTGGGCATGACACACAAACTAAGTATTTTGCTGGGCATGACACCACCTGCCTAAACCAGCCAGCACTTCAGTGCTGTAGAGCTATGGCGCATCAACACGTAGTGACTAGTGCATTTGTACCTCTGTTAGGATTGATGCTTTGGGTGTGCCTGTCTAACAAGCCATCATTTCTAATGTTTTATTTCTAAGTTCGGATGCAACAGTGTGGTTGCACCCGCTCTGGCTGTGTGATGCATGCAGTTTGCTCTCACCAGCTTTGCACGTGCTATGGGTTCTGAGTTCATTAGCTGCTTGGTGTGGGCTATGGCTGTTTGCATGCAGCTCCAGAACCCAGAGGGTAAGCATCATCAGCTGCTCTTTGCTCACCCCCCTGGGCTTTGGCACTGTGCAAAAAGAGTGGCTCCATTAAAGCCTGGGCTGAACATGTGGTGAACTCAGAGAGCCATTGTGCACAGTCAAACAGGAGGCAGCAAAACCCCTTTGCTGCAATCCTGGCTCTGCCTGTGCCAGGCACCACCTTTTTCTTCTGATGCATCATGAATTCACAGTGGGCCCCTCGCGTATTTTGCCATGTCCTCACAGCAAGTGATGTGCCTGGGATGCAACTGTCCTGTAAATCCATATATTGCTGCAGCTGCAATGAAGAGTGGCCCAAATGTTGCTTCAAGGCATGGGAAAGTCAATCCCAATGTCCTAGGTTGGCAGAAGATGGGCTCCAAACAGCCTAACATTTAGCAGGGCAGCAAGTAACGAAATATATTTCAATATTTGGAGGTTTCTATTTTTTGAAGCAAATGCCATAATTGTTTTCTGTTAAGCTGTATTCATTGGGTTGTCAACATGATGTATCCCATTTCCTAAATGGTCAAAGTCTGATTCCTGCATAGCTTAATTGAAGAGGTGGTGCAAATAACATTATATAAGGATCTGAAGTTAGTCTCAGCACTTTTCTATCTAAAAAACAAAGCATGGAACTACAGAGTCCCAAAGTAGGCCAGTGGATCTGGGAACAGTGAGCGTACACCATGCTGTCAACTTCCCAACATTTTCCTCTGCAAGTCTGCTGAAATATTTGTTAGTGTACACAGAATGCAGATGGCTTCCTCTGTGACCTCTGTGCTCAGAAGCTCCCCACAAAGTAGAACTTCACCAGTTATTTTGTACTTGGAACATGCAGGAATAACCCTGCTGTTACATGGGCTAAAGCAGGGGTGGGCAAAATGCAGTCTGGGGGCTGGATGCGGCCTGCCAGGTCATTCTATCTGGCCTGTGGGGCCCCTAAAAAATGTAGAAGATTAATATTAAATCTGCCCTGGGCTGCCTGTCATGCAGCCCTCGATGACTTGCCAAAACTCAGCAAACAGCCCTCTGCACAAAATAATTGCCTGCTCCTGGGCTAAAGTATTCTACCAAGAGAACATAAGTACACAAAACTATTTTCTTCAGGAGAAGCCCTGATGCATGTATGACACTACCAAAGAAAGCCAACCTGAGCAAGCCAAACTGTTTAACACACAGCATTGCTAGTACTGGTGAATCTGCAATAAGTTCTCTTTTATCATGTCTCACCTTGCAGACTGCCCTTCTATCAAAGGTACTGGTCAATCACATTCCCAGAACATTAGACTTTAGGGTACTTGAGCAATTATACTAAGAGGATTCACCAACTTCTATCTATTTGCAAAACTATAGTATAATTGGGCCCTGCTGCAAGTCTTTCATAGTCAAAATAATCTTCAGTAACAGGAAAATAAGGAGGTAAGTACATGATCATATGGTCATATAATATACTTACTTGAAGACAGCGATCAGTAGATTTACCAGCAGAATGTTTGCTACCAAGAGGTAACAGGCCATGATAGCAGGAGTGAGCCAAGCCCCAGGTATGCAGGGAGGGAGGCGTTTACCATCCTCGTCATAAAGATTATCTCCACAAGGAGCTAAAGAGGAAACAGTAAGGACTTAAAATGTATCTGAGAGAGGCAAGCAAGTGTGGAGCACACTGAATGGAAAATCAGTTCTCAGACACTGCAGACCCTTCTCAGCTATGGGCTGGCTGAAATTCTCACTACATTGAATAAATCTTTTCCCCCTTGGGAAATACTCTGTCTCTGAAGTCTACTATGAAAAAGGTCCTGAGCAGGATTTTCAGAAGTGACTACTAATTTAGGATGCTGCAGCTTTCTGGTTGCTCAACTAAATATGTCTAACAGGAGCCCAGGACTTGATCCTTCAGTCACTTACTACCTGTTAAAACATTTAACTCAAGGGCACTAAAATCCTTTCATAGATACCAGATCTAGCAATACATTTTTACCAGATTTAGTTTGCTGACACAGGCAAAACCAGTTTATTTTAAAAGTGTTTCCAAAACTATGTTCAATCTTACTTGAAGATAATGTTTGAATGTGATCTGACTGGCCTGAAACACTTACTTAAACCTGGTTTTGTTAAGACTATATGTAGGCTGAATTGAAACCTAATTCTCAGATATGGGCTTGAAAAATTTTCAAGCAGACTTATATCTCAGGCTTGTATTTATCTGGACACAGAAAATCAAATGCATCTTAGCAACACACAGATTGCATGCTATAGTGGCAAACTAATACATGAACAAGAGCAACAACACTGGTTTAGGTGGCATTTTATTTATTTGCATCTGTTTTTGAATACATTGCTTTTTTCTTGATGCTTGAAATGGGTTCAGTACAAAAAAAAGACTCATATCTGAATACTGGATTGGCTCTGTGACTAAAATGCCAATATTCACTGAAGAAAATAATATATTTAACTAAAGAAGATAATCAGTTCTCCCCATAAAGACTTACGATTAATTTCCATGGCATAGACTTCACAGCAATCCAAAAGGAAAGGGGAGGAGAAAGGAGAAAAAGAAAACAACAGAATAATAGAAAGAAAGAAGACAGAAGATTGACAATATAGTGGTTGTTCTGCTGCCAAGAAAAGATAAGCAACTCAGATATCAGAACCATGGAGACATATGCTTAGAAACAATGGCTTTATTAGAGCTGCAGTATGTACTGCAATTTCCTCTTCACTTTGTCTTCCTCAAATATGACATATGGAAGCAAATTCTTGTCAGTAAAAATAAATCACAAAATGCTGCTGGCAGATGATCATTTAAATACACAATATATTTTAGTCAAATAAACTCAACTAATGGTCACCCACAAACATACAAAGTTATAGCAAAGAAATGAATCTCATGGCAATTATGGAAACAAACTTCCCCTTTTTCATGAAGCAGAATCCAGGCGTTGACTTTTCTGGCTATTTCTGTCCTTATTATCATTCTTTGTTTGAGACAATCAGTAACTATGCTACAGATGTGTTATTACAGCTTCTAATAGAATTAAAGTCTAATTGGATGATCACTATGGATCTGTGGTTGCCACTCCTCAACTAGTGACTAAAAGTAAAATCATACTGATTAGTGGAACAGGAGCACAGGTGACCCTCATTCTGCTAGGTGCTAAGTGATCCTAATTTTATGGTCAAGGGGATCCTCTATCTTAGAGTGAATTTCATCTTTAGGGTGAAATCCTTCATACTTCAGGTGAAATCTTGTCCCCAGTAAAGTCAATGGCAGAAGTCCAACTGAATTAATTTGGCTCAATTTTGTTTGGTTATGACAGAAGTAGGTAAAAAAATGCATTTTTCTGAGTGATTGAGGTGGAAACTCAATACAATAATTCTCCATAAATCATTTGCACATAAGGAACTTGACAAAATAGCATAGACCCAACTTGAGCTATCTAGTAGGATCACAGCCAGGTGAACTGTTAAGGGTAGTTGTGTGGTACACTTACAGACATGGGAAGATTACACTGATACTTACTAGGTGGATCTACATGTGCCCCTATGGTGCCATTGTTACTGAACCATTATTTAGTACTTCCTTTTGGAAGTAACAGTAACAGTAACAGCCTGTACTGTGCCATGCTGGTGGCGCATGGTTATTTTTAGCCCCTATGTTGCCATAGCAATACGCTATACCAAGGGAGTGTATCACTATAGCAATGTAGCTGTGGCATCCTGGTTTTTGCCCGCCAGTGCTATGTCACCATAGTGCATTAGTACAGTGACGTAGCATCATGTGCAGATGATGAGAACAGAAGGATTTTTTAGAAAGTAGGAGCCTATTAGCTTTTCTATATGAGAAAATCAGACCAGGAAGTTTAAACACATATAGTTGTGCAGGTATAACTCTTTATAGACATTCTTCTTTTAGTAGGAAATGTCCTTTTCCAGTTTAGCTTATGTGACTTTCAAAGCACTTTAGGCAAGCTTAAAACCACCACTCTTCTGAAATAAAAGCCATCCATGTGGCAAACAATTAAGTATTCTGGTCTGACTGGAAAAAGCTCAGTATAAATAAACCCTCTGTGAACTGCCGTTGGTTGGGCAAATGGATTCCCAGAGTGCTGAGGTAGGAGCTGCTGTATCATGGAACAGAGCTGCTGCTGGCTACCTGAGCTCAGAATTGCTTATTTTCACTGATATGTGAGAAAACAGATGTGTACATGAACACTACAATTGGGCCTACCATCTTTGTTCAAGGCAAACAAAAATTTGTACATAGACTGTGAACCAAATGGAACAGGAGGAATATCTTCAGCCTCTGCCGTGCTAATTTTCTTCCAACATGTACCCATTTGAGTAGTCCCGAATTTTGTCAGACCACTTGGGAGCTTTGATGCCATATATGATGGGATGTGGTTGACCCAATTATTTTTTAAGATTGACTTAATGTACTGTAAATTGCAGCAATGAAATGACCATTTATGGGGCAAAGGAAGATGTTGAGACAATGTTACAGTCTTCCTAAATAGCAATGTAGCTTCATGACTAAATTATACTTAATAGCCTTGCTCTCAAGCAGCAGAGAAATCTAACATCTAATGATATTTAGTGAAAAAATGTCCTATATATCAGATATTGTCATAGATGTAATATTTAATAGTCCTGAAGTCTGCTAGAGGTCCACAGTCCCTTCAATCCACCCATCTTGAGTTTTCCATTTACTGCATTACCAATATGTACACAAACTGTGTTGAAATTACATTCTGACTATTTTTCCAGATATGGTGCATAATATATAGTAAAGCTAAACACATCTAATGAACCTGATTTCATATTCATGTAGACACATTTTATAAATATATTTCAAATATTAACTTACAAACATTACTGTATCCACATCCAGTATTTTTAATACATACTTTCAAAATAAATTACTAAATATTTTTTGGATATGAAAGACTGTTTATGGCCTGAAACTATCAAAAACAATGTTGTTATTGGATTTGTAAGATGTACAGGATCAAACTCTTAGGGACTCATGGACCTGAAACATTTCTGGAGCATATATTTATCACCTGGAAGGAATATGAATTAACTTACTGCATCTGCTAGGGGCTGGGACAAGAAATATGCATAGTTTCATCTCCCATACAAGATGCTTATTTTATCCCTATTGGGACACCTAGTAGTAAAATGTCTGCCTTCCAGCATTTTAGTTATAGCCCTCTTTGCCCTTCAGGCTTTACAGTACAGTCAAAACAAAGTTCATTTTGTAAACCAAATGTTTTTTTCACCCTCAAATGCTCTCTGAAATGAATAAATAAATAAAAAGGGTGAGAGGGTTTCTGTGTATAGATAGAGTAACTGCTTTTCATAGTTGATTCTGCCTTGGGAAAGGGGAACAGAAATCTTGGCCAGCCCTATTTTCTAACAGTATTTACTGCATATGAGGTTGTGTACTGCCAATGGATCAGAAGAATAATGTGCATGCTTTCAAATGTTAATGGAGATTTGGTTCAAAAGCTCCTAAGACACATTAACTCTAGGATATGCACAAGGTCTGTGTTTCAGTAATGAATGCTTCCAGAATCCATTTCAGGAAAACATGCATAACTCCCATTGAAGTCAATGGGGTTTAAGCATGTGCTTATGCACTTTTATGAAACACAGCCTGAACTGCTGTTGATGTACCAAGTCCACCAAAACAGTCCAAATGGGGAAGCAGAATGTCTCAGAGATCATAATCCTACCCTCAAAAGGAAAGGAGAACATTTGAGACTGCAGCACTCACAACACAATCTGGGCCTAAATACAGGCTGACTGACAGAAGGTTTCTACTAGTACTTGGGTGGGAAAGAGAAAATTATATTCATACCTCTGGGGTATGCTGCTAAAAAACAAAGCAAAAGAAACAAAGAACCCACACCACCACAAAGACAAAACACACTAATTCCAAATTAAAATGGACATCCTCATTAATTTGGATCTGATCATCTGCCTCAGAAACAGGAAACAGAATCTTACTATGAATTCTACTCTTACGGTCTATCTGGTCTGCAAACACCTCTCCATAGATCATCCAGTAGGGCATATAGAAGATATTGCGGGCCAGTCTCCAAGAGGGCTCTTCATCTGGGTGCAAGATAGCTTGGCGGGCAACTCCAAAGCTCATGAGAACCACAAGCATGATGACCACAAAATAGAGCATGTCAATCATCTGGACAGGGGAGCCAGACAGAGGTTCTTGTCACAATCAACAGTTCCATGAAAAGACATGTGTGACCATGAAAGAATCATGAGGATAAAAATCCCCCCAAAATAATCATTTCCCAGATACTATTATGCCATTATAAGTATTGCTCATGAATTGAAAAAATATACTCTGCAGAAAAGGTAGTCCTGCGGGTCCCATTTAGACAGGTACGTTCTATGATTAAAAGAACTGCCAATGGTACAAAATGTGCTTCTTTGTGAATGCTCTTATACATCAGTAACACTGTGCTGTTTCGCCAACACATTTTAAAGCTAGAAGGGGCAGTTACAGAAAATCACTAGTGTAAGGGACTCTTGCTGGTGAAGCGTTATTAGGCACTTGTACATGTGATGAAAATTGGCTGTTTTTGCGGTTTAATTGCATCACGCTGTACATATGAGGGGTTTTTTATGATTTAAATGAATTTGCTATGTTGCAAACTAAACTACATCTGCATGTAGTTTAGTTTGCAACATAGCTATTTGTAACATTGCAAATTTTGACAGGATCAGGCCCCTTGCCACTGTTCTTTTTTCCTCAGTGGAGTCTGCGCTCACAAGCTACTGCCAGGCCTTGCAGCCCCTGAGCTTTGGGAGGCCCCAGTCCTTCCCTCTGTGGCAGCAATACTCCTTGGGGCCACCCAGGCAGGGTGCTAGCTGTGCCAGTGCTGCCCCAGCTCGCAGTCTCAGGAAAGATGTGGATTGGGTGGGTGCTGCCTGCGAGCTGGGGCGGCACCTGTGCAGCTAGCACCCTGTCTGGACAGCCTCAGGGGGTGCCGGCACTGTGGAGGGAAGGACTGGGCCCCCCACATCTCAGAGGCTGCATGGCCTGGTGGCAGCTCACGCAGCTAGGCTCTGCTGAGGAAAAAAAAAAAAAAAAGCATTGAGGGGCCTGATCCTATTTTTTTTCCCATGGAGACTGCCTGCCTCTCCTGTGGCCAGGGGTGAGCTGCTGGTGGGCCCTGAGCTGCGGGGAGCCCCAGACCTTCCCTCTACAGTGGTGGCGCCCCCCCGGGTAGTACCTGCCTGCTTGCTGCCCACCTGAGTGGCACCACCACAGCTGGGGAACTTTGGGTCCCTGAGTTGCCAGAGCCCAGAGATGACAGCTGCTGGGACTGAGGATCCCCTCAGTTGCAGCACTCCCAGGAGAGACCCTGCTACATGTGCAAATTAAAGCTCAGTAGCAACCAGCACATTTCTGAGGTCTAATTTTGAAGCTGGTTCAATTTTCTTATGGCCTGATTGGTAATTTGCACATGTAGCTGGTCTCAAGATAATTGTGCAGATAGCTTGTTAATTGTGTGATACCTCTAGTGTGTAGAGGAGGCCAAAAATTTGGAAACCCACTTTCTGAAGGGGAAGACCCTAAAGAATTCTCAGTAGGTCAAATGTTTCACCCATGCTGAGATTAATGAAGCTCATGGAGAGCTCAGAGATGCTGAATATTAAAATAATTAAGATAAACATCCTCTTGAATTGAGTTGATACTTACTGAGAGTTCTGTTCCAAAGAAAGTGTATCATGTATCGTGTGTGTGCGTGTGTATAAGTGCATGTGTACAGAAATCCTGAATCAAGATTAAGAGCCCAATTCTACATGCTTTAATCTCAGACCCACTCAGGTGAGCAAGAGCTGCAGAATTGGTTTCTAAAACCTGGAACTGATTTAACTTCCACAAATCTGTTTCTTAGGTAGCTTTAAAATGCAGTATTTAAAGCACCGTCTTGCACCATAGCTACTAACCATCTTTCCAATCATCATGACATAGGGTCCCAGATACTTGTTCACACCAAAGATATCCAGTACTCTAATGTACCAAAAAATGATATCCACGCAGTAAATCACTCTTCCATAACCCATGTAAGGCTGATTCTGTAGGCGAAGAATTGCTCCAATTATAAATACTAAAATAGCCACCAGATCAGTGATATTCCAGTATTCCTGAAGCCAGACTTTCACTTTCTGGCTCAGCTTTCCTGGCTCTGACATGAGAATCTGAAAACAAAGCAAGAGAAAGGAAAATCTGTGAGGTACATTTTTAAAACAATGAACTCTCATTGGTTTTAACCAGTTTCAGTGAGGCCATTCACACTGTGGATAAGGTTTGCCACAGTGGCAGACTCTGCTTTTTTGCAGATTCTGTTTCATTTTTATTATTATTATGGCCCAACTTAAGCAGAAATAAAATACACAATTAATCCATATTATTAACTTTGTTTACATCCAAATCAGAATTACACGAGATGTTTACTGTGGGGAGGAGGAGGAAGGAAGATGGTGGATTGGAGAGAAAATAGGCTGGTATAAATGACAGTGTAATAAGTGGATATAGTGATGGATTTCTGGTGCTGGGCTCCATATCTAGAAGGGCATAAAGAATTAATAAATAATTAAATACCATTACTGTTTTACATCTGTAACAACTCTTTGCCACCAATGTCTCCATGCAAGAACTGCACTGATTATAACATAACACAGGGGAGAGCAAAATATGGCCCACCAGGCCATTCTATCTGACCCACTGGGACCCTTAAGAAATTAGTAAATTAATATTTATTTGCTCCTGGCTGCCCGTCCAAGTTGACAGGAGCCAGAGTCAGTAGGACCTAGGGGCAGCCCTCAGTAGAACTAAGAAGCCCAGCCCCGCCCACCTCCAGCCATTTGACTCTCTTCCTGCCCCTGCCCTGCTCCTGGCTGTATCGCCGGACTGAGGAGCACAGGGCCACGCTGATACATGTGTGTGTGCAGGCAGGGGCAATGTGTGTGTGTGTGTGTGTGTGTGTGTGTGTGTGTGTGTGTTTGTTTATAGGGTGAGTCCGACATGCACACCCCATCTACACATGCATCCCCCCCGCACTGCCATACACGCAGGCCCCCACACCCACATCCCTTCATACACCCCAGCTACCCTCCCCCAACATCCAGCCCCCCACAAACCCCATGCCCACCCACATAACCACAGCCCCCCACAAACCTATATGCACCTCCCATGATATACAAGAATAAGACTTCTTTTAAGCTATTGTGCAATCACCTCTGTGTACACTACACAAACACATATAAATCAGAAGAAAAATATTTTTTGAAATCAAATTAATGAATGCGGTAGATGTTTGCTTTTTAGAATATAAATCGGTATTTTTCCAAGACGGCAAAACCCCTTGC